GTGACTTTTCGATAGATTTGAGCAGGGAACTGGCACTCGCTATATGGATATTCACCAGTGACCATCTCTAACAAACACATTCCAAATGCATACACATCAACACTTTCATCATACATTTCTTCGTACATTTCTGGAGCCATAAATTCTGGGGTCCCTGTAACCAATGAGATGCAACACAACACTGGCAATGCACCAGTCACAATGCGGAAATAATACATACCAATGACGCTTTTTGCATAAGATTTGTTTTTTAGAGTTGCCAGCCCCAGGTCGCCAATTTTGACACTTCCCGTGGTGCCCGTGATGAAGATGTTATCACATTTGAGATCTCTGTGAATGACAGGTGGATTTCTTGAATGGAGGAAAGAAAGTCCTTTCAATATCTGCCGGCACCACGACTTCAATACCTGAAGCACACACGAGGCTTTAGTCGCAAAACGACACAGCAAAGCGCAACATAGCCTGACTCACAGAGCAAAAATATTCAATCAAATTATAATCACCAACCTTTATGTTTATTCGTTTGAACCGTTTTAAGTACATTTTCAAAGTGCCAGACGTCATGAGCTCTGTGACTAGCACGATGTACCTGCAACAGCAATTTACAGCATTTTGCTTCGTACAGCCCAGCAAAGTGAACGCGTTGCATCTGCAACAAAATGCAAAATGGGAGAAAGGGGGAGGGGGACAGCAGTGTATCAGTTGTATGAGAAGCCTGTAAGAGCGATTACGCAAGGTAATCATTTCTACACGACCACTTCCTCCGCAAGGCTATCGTACTACACCTCCTTCACTGGATGGTTAAGCTTACGACGCGTGATCACGCAAGTCTTATTCGCGGAAAAACAACTGATGTCTGCGTCTTGCTTTCAAAATCGTCAAGAGAACAATGTGTGTCTAAAGAATTTTGATAGAACATCTACCGTTTCTTGCCGGCATGATCCTGCCTTTCCCAATAATCATAGAATCGCACAATATTGGGGTGTTGTAGGCCCTTCAGCATTTCGGCCTCTTCACGAAAACGTTGCCTTTCCGCCTAAATGCACTAGGTTAGCAAAACGGTCTGAAGCGTCGAGCAAAAGGGAGAAAATGGGGATGCGCGCACG